CTGTTGTATCTCAAAACTAATTTCGTCAAAAAAACACCGCTTTGTTCAGTAGCAACGATCAGTATAATCCATATACATATGTATGTATTGAAAAATTAATGTATTCTAGCAATATCTATGTGTTATTATTATTTTTTTTTTGAAGTAATAAAATATGCAAATTATTCTTTCATGAATTTTGAACACATGCTTATGATTTGAAATATAATTTTGTATATATGAATTGTATTAACTTTAAACATAAAGAAATACAAAGTATCCTATGTCCTCTGTTTATAAAATATCTCCCCACCAATTTTCAGCCAAATCAGTTAAACCGTTCTCTAGTTATAAATAGTGTAACTAACACGATTGTTTTTATACTCTCGCAACCTGTTGCTACAGAGTATAATAGTTTTGTTCACCTAACGGTTGTTTGTATCACCTAAAACTAATCGAGTTAGATATAGGTTATATATATAAAATGATCAAGATGAAGAGACGAGTTAAATCGGGTGACTGTCTGTCCGTCCGTCCGTGCAAGCTCTAACTTGAGTAAAAATTGAGATATCTTTATAAACTGGTAGACATGTTTTGGTACCGTGAGACGGTTGGTATTGAAGATGGGCGTAATCGACCACTGCCACGCCACAAAACGCCATTAATCAAAACAAATAATTGCATAACTAAGCTCCGAAATAAGATTCAAGACTGTTATGTTGGTACACAGGATCACATTAGGAGGGCATCTGCAGTTTTTAAGTGGGCGTGGGCGGGAGCCTCTAATAGGTTTAATGTGCATATCTCCTAAACCGCTAATGCTATAATAACAAAATTCACTGGAAGCAAATGTTTTAGCACTTCTATTGCGGTGTGAAAATAGTTGAAATCGGGTGGCAACCTCCACCACTCCCATATAACGTACTGTTAAAAACTACTAAAAGCGCGATAAATCAAGCATAAACACGCCAGAGCATTAACTTTTATCTCTGGGATGGTATGAGATGACTTTATACGAACCGCGTTCAAAATTAGACAGTGGGCGTGGCACACCCACTTTTAGTGAAACCCATATCTTGAGATCTGCTTAACCGATTTCAACCAAATTCGGTGCATAACGTTCTTTCATATTTATGTCATAGGCGAAATCGGACTACAACTACGCCTACTTCCCATATAACACCATTTTAAATTCCATCTGATTCTTTCACTTTCCACTATGCAAATCACGCAACAATGACTGTATCGGGATAAAACTTTGCGTGAATAATGCGATTAAAGTATCCGCCTTGGGCCAAAATTGTCTAAATCGAACCAAAACTGTTTAAGCCCTAATACTAAATATGTGACCCAGTGCCTATAGTTGACCTTCTACCGAAAATATCAGTCAATCCACAAAGAAATCTTAAACGAGTATACTATTTGAACTATTACTATGTATAATGAATTTACACTTAAATTTTTAACTTTTATATCCACTAACTATATTCGTTTCTAAGTATTTGTTTTTATTAAATAGTGTAAACTTAACTTTATTAAATTTTTACTTTGGTTCATTTATTCATACAATAACGAAATAGTTCATGCAAACAAAAAAGTATTACGTATACAAATTACACTGGTGTTTTGTTCACAATATTTTGTGAGAGTGTCTTAATTACTCAATTATTATTATTATTTGCAATTTATCGTATTAGCTTTATTGAAAATATTTGGTGTACGCCTTTTTTGGTCTAAAACAACAACATTATAAACCCTCGCACATAAACATGCTAGTTAACATATCCATGGATAAATCAACCCCTAGTTAAATCTAACCAGAAGAAAAAATTAACGGTATTATAGGAATCTTTGAAAAAAAAAATTATAATAGAAATAACCTTAGTTACTTCCTATTATATAACCCCTGTGAAAGTCCTACCCAAATTAGTACAGACGTGTCAGAGGTTAGCCGGAACAAACAGACAGGCAGACAATTGTAAAAAGTATACGACAGACACTCCGATTTTATTTATTTGTACTGATATAGAAATTAATATTTCACATGAGTAATCAAAAACAAAAAACCTCAGAAGAATGAAAGTTAAATTAAAAAAACATCGGGCTTGGATTTAGAATAGCATCCTTCGAATTCGGGGATAAAATGGTTATCAGTGGATAGTGGAGGTTGTTCACATTAAGAATCCCAAGAAAACTTATAGCTGTTAAGATATTTGAGATTTGCTATTAAGATAACAAAAGAGAAAGATTATACCGCTAATACAGAATCAGTAATCGTTTGATTTGTAATTTGAAAAATACTACAGATAGTTGCCATAGTTTTTCCCCTTGAAATGTACTTTCTTTCCTCTGGTTTAAATTAAGAGATCTTGGCTTTGTACACTTCATTTTTATGAAATAAACTTTGGATTTATTTATAAAACAATGCATGAACAATAGCGGGAAGACAAAACTTTTTTAATCTCTTAATAAAGTTACATATAAAATTTTTCATGTTACTATATAAACTGCTCTGAGAGCTGACGAGTTGAAAAAAGTACATTTTTGATACACTTACTCAATGTAATATGAAATCAAGAAATTTATACTTATAATACGGTTCGGTAGAGTACTTTATTCCTCAATAATGCACTTGTTAATTCTTATTAAAATACGGGAAAACCGTGACGTCAAAAATTATGATTCCGTATAAACAAGTGGGCTTATGTGCAGACTATATTTCAGAACATTAGAAGTTCTTACCGAATTGTAAATATTTCCATAGCATTCATTCTAACGAATGCACCACCTAAATAAAGTGTAAAAAGTTGTTAAATTAAATAACTTGTATATTATTTTAAAAATTTTAAACAGCATGCGCGTAACCAAGCTAATAATGAAAATATTGTAACGGATTTCTCGATAAATCGTCTACCTTGTAACTGACTCTAGAGTTCGATCAATGGATTGTTAAATAAAAGTCCCAATTTAATGGCCATATAATTGAAAGTTCGAAAAAGCATCACTGTCGCAGCTGTTGCGCAAAACCGCGCAAACCTTGCAAAATTTGAAAAGAAGTTCACAAAAAAATACATCAAAACCAACTGTGCTAGCTAAAATGTCGTTGTAAGTTATTTATTTTAAATTTAATTTTAATTTTACTGTTTTATTATATTTGTGGAGTTTTTTAAATTTTATAGGATATAGTAAAAAGATTGCGTAAAGTGCACTAAAGCTTTCACTATAGGAATAATCCGTTAGATTTCAAAGCTTATAGAAATCAATAACACTGGTAAACAAAATAAATTTTTTTTTTGTTTTTGAAGTTTCTTAACTGTTTCTTACTAATTTGACGTCGCTGATTTCAAATCTATTAGATCTCAGTTTCTTTCTAGCAGCTCTAGTTTTAGTGATACAGATACTTCTTGAAATATGGTTACTCGGCTTATTTGAATTAATTTTTAGGGCAAAACCAATTTCCAATTACCAATTTCATAAATAAACCGCTAAGTATACATTAAGAAGAACTTGTTTAAATGATCCGAATAGTTTTTGTGCAGTTATTGGTGACTATATGTTTACCGTTACATATAGTGAACGAACAGACGGCCAAACAGACCCTGCTTCAAATGACAGCAGAAGGGTTTGGCAAAGGGCAGGTAATCTCGTCCCAGCAGATGAAGGCCCTAAGTGACGAAATGCCACTAGCCCTCTTTCCAAGGGACAGCATTACCAAAGCAGTAAGTTTCACTAGGAAGTTCAGAGTTACCCTTGGCAGTAAGGCGGAATAGAATGATTCCACGCTGGACCTACTGCTAAGGAATAGCACTATCAAGTGGTACACCGACGGCTCGAAAACGGCGAAGGTGGCGCAGGGGTCGCAGGACCACGCACCAAGCTCTCCATTCTAATGGGAAATTTTCCTAGCATCTTCCAGGCGGAAGTATATGCTATAAGTCGGATATGATAAGAGTACCTGCATACTCAGCGATAGTCAGTCGGCACGAAAAACTATCTCGGCTTTTGAGGTCAAATCGCTACTAGTGCAGGAGTGCATAGAACGGCTGAACAGTCCATCAAGCCATAATAGAGTGCACCTCATATGGGTGTCTGGTCACAGGGGTATATCAGGAAATGAACTGGCTGACGAGTTGACCCGCTTTGCAACCTCCACAAAAATGGTAGGACCAGAACCGTACATAGCGGTTGGCCCGCATACCATTATAGAGCTGCCCCGTAAAGAGGAAAGAGCAGGCAGGGAGAGACATTGGCAACATCTCCAAGGCATGCGCCATGCCAGACAAATTTGCAAATGGTGTCAGTGCAGAGCGATTTCTAAAAATTTTTTGATCGATTTTGGATGCAGTGAATCGAAGGTTTTGTTTCACACTTTGCAAATCGTTAAGAGTTTCACGCTGTGCTAGTATTTTTAGCCGCCCTGGACGCGCGGGATGGAAAAACGCCGGCATGTTATTAATCTATTTTATTACTCTTTGTATGAAAGAATGTGTTCCTGCAACCGATTTCAGGGTATGTTTTTACTTCTTTGAAAAGTTTAACCATTATTTACCTTTCGTCTTATTTCTTTTCTTTAAAGCGAGATTCGATATTCTAAATTTAATAAAAAACTGAATAGAACAAAAATCTTTTAAAATTGCTACTTTTACGAAACAAGTACAACTATAACTTTCCGACACTTCTACATTTGGTTATTGCGTAGGAAATTTCCATTTTACTACTTGTACGCAGACTATTTATCCGCTGCCAAACTACAATTTTTTTTGAAAATTCGCCTATAAAATTTGCTTATGGTGGCAGATTTTCATTTTTTTAAATGATATGGGGTTATGCAATAGACTAATAATAAAGCACTTAATATTGCCCAAAAATTTAGTATATAATAGTGATTTGTTAACAAAAGAAGATAAAATATAAGTGTGTACGCAGACTTTTTCTGGCGAGTGTATGTGTTATTTATCTCTTTATATTGTATACAAATTGATCCAACCTCAATAATTTTTACTTGAACTCTTTCATTTCAGGCACAAGTAAAGTACTGTACAGATATTTTCAATACAGGCGAAAAAGTTATATATCTCCATTGCATGGGAAGTTCTATTAACCGTTGCCTTAACTTAGCCTTACACATTATTAAGAATTCCGGTCAGAGAATATCATACTTCATACATACTTCAACTATCAAGTTGATTGGTAAGTATAAACTTAACTGTATAAAGAAAATAATTATTTATGTATATATCATACAGACTGAAAAGTTCCCATTGTTTCTTTTAAAATTGATTCCATATAATTTTAGACCTAACCTTTAAAAGACAATTAGTTCGTGCGGTAAGGCAGCGTGTCCAACACGTAATGAGGGTTCATGAATAAGTATGTGCCCACGGGCTCAGCATATAGGTTTTCCGTCGATATGCGACAATGAGTTAAACATAACTCGATCATATAATTACGAAGTCCGAATCACAGTCATCTGAGTGTTTTACTTGCGATAAACCAATTTCACAGCGTGGAAAAACTGGTATATATTTATTCTGGAAAATGCCTAAAAGAATTTTTATCGACAAAAAATTTCACTTAACATCATTAAGGTATATCTCATATTGAACAATGCAATTGCAATATAAAGTCAAGTGGGAAGCTCTATATTTACCTTCGTATATGCTATGATTCCACTAATCCCTATCAATATAGTTTTAGTAGTTTGCCAGATAAATATGTATATTAACATTTTTAGGTGCCGGAACCATGTCCAAGAAATAGATAGTTAGATCATTATTCAGATATGCACTGCGACCTGTGGTCAGTTCTGCCCTCTTCCTTCCAGAACCGACAATTTGCAAAAGAGTATACAGTGATCGGTGTATATTGCCAGAAGTAGGCAGACTTTACTCCTAAGGAGTTTGTTGGAATTTGCTTAAACCTTTTGATGGAAATTCATAAGCCAGGTTATTTCCGGCGTCACGCTCTTGGCGATAGTTGCATTGGTTAAGCTTTGCACACTAACTTATTATAAAGCCCTCTGCGAAAAAGATGCTAGGAAAGCTGCCCATGGACACTGAGAACTTTGTGTATTAACCTTAAATCGAGCACGTTTGCCGACGCTTTTTAAGTAGCAGGTTTTGTATGGAGTCTTTTCATTCAACTTTGCGACCAAGGGTAATTCTAGTTTTCTTGTTGGAATTTGTACGTTGGGTGGTATTATCTCTGTCTCTATCCATAGATCACAATTTTTCTGTCAGATCCTTCTGCTGTCATGTGCATAATGGTTTGATAGGCATAATGGTTTGGTAGGCATAAGTGTTTTTTTTTCTTCCCTTCTAATATACTATCCAGCTATACATGGAGCCATATTAAATCTGTTCATACTGCCAATGCACCATGCGGCCGCTTTACGGCGATGCAAATTGCACTAAAATTGCCTACTTAGTTTTTTCTAGCTTTGGCTAGTGTAATTACTCCAAATAAACCATCGTGCGAGCACGTTCACTCCGGGTACTAAAACATTAACAACTACATGTACCTCAGTCCCTCACACCCATGACCGTACTCATCTCTTTAAGATAGATCGAGAGGACATTTATCGAGCTGTCGGAATAGCGATTTGACATACCCCAAAATTAATTACACAAGTAAGCAGCTAGTGATATTCTAATAAATAGCGTCACCTGGCGACCAATGCTGACCTTTACATCGGACCACCTGTCTATAATTATCTGGATTGAGAAAACACCCGACCTTGTTTCTGCTACCATCTTTAGCACCTGTAGCTGTACCATCTTTTACGAAGTTTACGATGATGGCTGCTGCTTCTTTTCGCTTAAATTATAAAAGTGATTTCAACTTGCCAGTCGCAGCAGCTTTATCAAATGGGTACGACAAGACGGGAACTCTTCGGTACAATATTACATTATTAAAGTGGTATTGAAAAATGTTTTTTCTTTAAAATGGTACGATCTTTTCAGTCTGCGTGATGTACAGTAGGTGTTCAAGTTATTCGACAATATATACAATATTAGCATTCTTCGATTTTAAATTAATAAAACTTTACTTTAAAATATTTTAATCTGTGTATGTTTATTTTAATTATTCGGGAACATGCTCACATATTGTTTAAATCAATTATATAGTTTAAAATGAATTTACAATTTATTATTCGGCAAAACCTTGAATGGATTACAATCATTTTGGTGACGAAATTTTACTGAGATGACTTAAAATCTGACCGATTTTTTTGGCATAGGGTCCATTGAAGTAACCATAATCATGTAATATAATATATGTAGGATTGAGTAATTCGTGAATCGATTCCATCCATTTTCACCAATCTAGTATAGTGTAGTAGGGGTGGTTCTAGTCCGTTTTCACTCATTTTCACGGTGCAACAAAATAATGTTATGCACCTAGTTTCAACATTTGAAATCGGTTCAGTCGTTCCTGAGGCATAGGATTCGACTTAAAAGTTTAATTTTTATGGCGTGTTAGTGACTTATCGGCCTTTTTCAACATAACAATTACATAGTAGTCATTCTATATTAATTTACCTATTTTTCACTGTATGAGGAGGAGCTAGGAGGACTTGTCCTCAGCAAGTTTGGTTGATATAGCTTTAGTGGTTTTTGAGATATGTACAATAAGCTTATTATGGGGGGAGTTCGCGCCCACTTTTTAATTATAAATTTTAAACTGCAGAAAAAAAATAAAAGAATTTGAGTGAACTATCCAAATGAATTGAAATCTTTAGGATATTTTAGATGTTTACAAAGATGTTCGCTATTTATATACACATTATATGAAAAATTATAAGCGTTCGAATGACTTGACTTCCAACTGTCTAGGCATATACCTATATTTTATACAAATATGCAATTTCGTTTTTTTTTTTCAGATGAAACTCATCCTTTACACGAGAATGAAGATATTGCGTTAAGAACACGTAATAATTCTGCTGTGCATGTAAAGTTATTACGTCATATAACTGAATAAAAATCGATCTACTTAACTATGTTCAAATTGTCAGAACTCGTTCGGTGGCTCGGTCTAACCGAATTTGAAATATTGGTTAACCTATGCGGAATGCTTACATTTACAATCATCCTCGCATTTAAAATATCTGGAACTTACTCAAATTCTGTAATCGATTGGTTTACTGCATTTAGTCCTTTATTTTGTATTGATATTTTTAATTCATATTTTTGTGTGATTGTGGGCATTCGAATGTATCTTGATTCCGATAACAAACGCAAAGCACTCCACAGAGTTATGTGGAGTACATACTTCCTGGTACTTATATCAATATTTAAATATTTGTTGTGTTTAAAATTATCTGGGCAAACTGGCCTTGAATATAGTGAGGTTTTTTCTCCTATTTTTGTTTTACTTCAGTTGGTTGCAATAAGAGCTTGTCAAATACCTAACTCATAATAAAGTTTATAACCTTAAGTTATATTTATAAAATAATTATAAACATAAAATCTTATCACTCTGCCCATATGGATGCTAAGTTATTTAGTTTTGATGATTGTACAAAGGATCGCAAAAAGGAGTTCTACGCGAAAGAACTGAGCACAGCCCGGTGTTTGACCGACCAGGGTAATTTGCTTTCTGAGGCGCGGCCGAAGGCCACCAAGAGAAAATGGTGTTCTACGCGAATGAACTGAAGACACCCCGTTGGTGGACCGCGAAAACTGTGTTATTTATTTCCTGCCATTGGGGCCATCTGTTTTCTTTGTTCCTTTTGGTTCCTTTGTTTGTAGATAAGGTAACACTGAGTATTTGTTAGAATGCAACCCTTTTGCTATTGTGAATTGAACAAAAGTTAAATATTGAATTAAAGTTATTTTTGCACCATTTAATATAAAATAAATGTGTAGAAACCAATCAGTGAAGTTTTAGTGGGTATAAAATTTAAAAATATAGGGGTAAATTTTATTATAAATCAAAGAAACACGCACTTTAAATAGATGAATTTTTATACTTCTAATATCATAAAAACCATAAGGCAGTGGCAACTAATAGTATATATTTTCTTAATCTGTAATCCCTCTCTATCCGTACATACCAATTTTAACCCCGAATTCGGGGGATGCTATTCTAAAATTTATCCAAAGTTTTTGTTTTTTTATTATGTGCAGTGTGTTTTTTTAATTATATTCTTCTACATTTTCTTTTAACATAAGTAAATATATTTAAAAAACATAAATAATAGTTAAAACTAGATGAATTTTGGTCATAAAAATAGCTATACTCGTTTGTACAAAAGCGCGTTTGTGACAAGCTTTTTGCTTAAAAAAAAAACCTATTAAATCAGGTTACTATGATTACACTGGGTACCATGGCCTACTGTACCGTAAATTATAAATTTTTTGTGAAAAATAAATAAATAATTTCAAATTACAATATTTTTGAACGCTAAAATAAGGTTTTCAAACGCAAAACTAGTTTATAACATTTTTAAATCTTATTATTATTAATTGCTTACAAGTACATTATTAGTTTATATCTTTTTATAATTAATATTTTAAGCTGTTTCAAGTATAAAAGAACACATCATATTTAAATGATTATGGCAACCAACCATGAAACGTATTATTACTTGTGACGAGACGTCGGTTTTTGAATGTTAATCACCCCAAAATCGGTCAAAAATCAAGGTGATGCTAATTGTTTTCTTTGATTACCGTGTTGTGGTACACCATGAATTTGTTGTACAAGGTTAATAAGGAATACAACTTTACATTTTGAGTCATCTACCATAAGCAATTCGTGGTAAACGAGCAGGTTTGTGGGATGAAATTTCATGGCTTTTTCCAAATGATAATGCAACCTCACTTTCCAGCATGTTTGTGACTGACTTTTTAGCAGAACACGAAACGATACTCATCGCTCAACCACCGTATTCTCCAGATTTGGCTTTCTATCTTTTTTTTCTGTTTTTTCGAAACTAAAAAATCCGCTTCGGGGAACGCGTCATGAGTTCATTGAAGTAATTAAAAGTCATTTGCTGAATGCTCCGACAGTCATCCCAGTTGAAGCTTATAAAAAGTGTATAGAAAACAACAACGTTGGTAAATGGAGTATAATTTTAAGGCGATATTAAAAGTTTGTATTAAAATACGTGAAAAGTTCTTTTTGTCAAATTTAATAGATGTAGAAGTTGATTTTGTGGATGTGGAGATGTTGATAACAAATATAAGTACAAGAAAGTGGTCAAATATGCAAAGAAATTTCTGAATATATCCGGAACAAATGTAAGTGTTAGTAAGTTATATTATAGGTCACAGACTCACTTAGTATTTTGCTATAATTTATTTCACGTCAGCTAAAATGTATACTTTGTGATATAAACTAAACCGATTATGCTAAATTCAATATATTGAGTTGATGTAGAAAACGGTAAACAAAGAATCAGAATTCATTATATTAGGGATATAAGGTTTAGACTAACTTCATTCTTCTTCAGCCTAAACCATATAATTTTGAGGAAAATTTGTCCACTTAAGTTCATTAAAATATCAGACATTTTGACCAACCTAAACGGATTAAAGTCAAGCGGAAAGTCGGAAATCAATATATAGGGTAAATTTGGGACCATTGACAGCTCTGAAATGATTACATTAAATTTTGACATTGCTCAACTTTGACAGGTATGCCCAAGAACATATTTTGAAGCCATTTTATAAATATTAGGTCAAGTAAAAAGTTCATTCGGTTTTTATCTAAGATATGGCGTTATTGTCCATAGTGCTAGTGTTACGTGTCGCATCATCATTGTCCTTGACAGTTTTTCGATTGATTGACTCAGTACTCAGCAAAGAGAAAATTCGCTATATTTTAAAATTTTTCTTCGATCAAGGCGAAAAAGCAGCCAAAGCGGCTGAAAACATTAATTTAGTTTATGGGCCCGATACTGTAAACGAACGTGTAGCACAAAAGTGATTTGCAAGGTTCCGTTCCGGTAATTTCGATGTCAAAAATGCACGACGCGTCGGGAGGCCTGTCGTCGAAAATTGCGATAAAATCATGGAAATAGTGGAAACAGACCGTCACGTGAGTAATTATTTAATTGCTGAGGAACTAAAGATAAGCCAGAAAACCGTTTGGAACCATTTGCATAACCTTGGATTTAAAAAGGAGCTCGATGTTTGGGTGTCACACGAACTAACGCAAAAAACATGATGGACCGAATTTCCATCTGCAAATCGCTTCAAAATCGCAACAAAATCGACCCGTTTCTGAAGCGGATTGTGCCTGGCGATGAAAAATGGGTCACTTATGACAACATCGAGCGCAAACGGTCGTGGTCAAAGCTCGGGGAAGCGGCCCAGATGGTAGCCAAGAACTGATTGACGGCCAGGAAGGTTTTGCTGTGTGTTTGGTGGGATGGGCAAGGAATCATCTACTGCGAGCTGCTCCCCTATGGCCAAACGCTCAATTTGGCCCTCTACTGCCAACAACTGGACCGCTTGAAGGCAGCACTCATCCAGAAGAGGCCATCTTTGATCAACAGAGGCCGAATTGTGTTTCATCAGGACAACGCCAGGCCACACACGTCTTTGGTGACTCGCCGGAAGCTCCTGGAGCTCGGATGGGAGGTTCTAATGCACCCTCCTTATAGTCCGGACCTGGCACCAAGTGATTACCATCTTTTCCTGTCCATGGCGAACGCGCTTAATGGTGAGAAGTTGGCCTTAAGAGAATTGACTTGTGAAAATTGGCTCTCCGAGTTTTTTGGGACGCAGTCTTTTACGAGAGGGATATAATGAAGTTGGCATCTCGTTGGCAACAAGTTTACGAACAAAACGGCGCATATTTGCCTTAAATCGGACAAATGTACACAAAGTTATCATCTTTTGAAAAATCAATAAACAACTGAACGAACTTTTTACTTTACCTAATATATGTATAGCACACTGACCGATATATTCGACATAATAACGAAAATTATTATATGTATTTAGTATATAGGATTTGGAGTAATTCCGTGAGCGATTTAACATATTTTCCGCATTATACTGTAGAGTTTTCAAAATTCTAAGTTCAGTTAATTTTGTTAAGATATCACATGAGAGAGATAGGAGAGATAGAATCAGTATTAATTCAATTTTATCTATTCTTACATCACTTCATAGGGTGCGTTCAAGATAGCAATCACGACAGAAATGTTGCAAAAGAATCAAAGTAATACGTTCCAATTGAATTTCTGGGAACACTTGCAACAGTATCACGTTCTAATTAATTTTTGTTTGCACATCAGCAAATTATCAGCAACGAATTGTCAAATATTCAACAACTGCTGTACTTATTACGTAGCTTGAATACAGAATATTATTAACAGAAAAAGATGCTCTCTTAGTTTCATTAATGTACTTCCTATACCATCATCAATATATAAGGACAAAAATCAACCGGATGTTTGAAAACGTCACTGTTATTAGACCAACACGTTGTCCCATTTTAATTAAGATAACTCACATATTGGCCGATATATGCGGTATAAGGTCAGCCGGAAGTTTGAAAGTCTTTATATTAGGTATATGGGGCTAAAAAAGTATTGACCCGATCCATCTCATGTTTGACATACAGACATACTATTATCAGAAAAAGACTCTCCGAATTTCCATAATATATCTCCCAGATTGACAAAAATTTAGTTACCAAAAGGCACTAGGGTTCACTTATTCGATATCTTGGGCCTTGTAGTAGTCCGATTTTGACAATTTTCGTTCAAAAGGTGGCACACCTTAAATACACTATTTGTACTGGAAAGATAAAAAATTAGATGGAATTTTAAATTGTTACGTATGGTAAGTAAGAGTGGTTGTAGTCCGATTTCGCCCCTGTCAGGATAATACAACGTAGCGAGCTTGGAGGAAATTAGTCATTTTATAAATTTAAAATACTGAATAAGTTTTATTAAAATTTACAATGAGGTCCGCAATTTAGCTTTTATTTTTTTGGATTAAGGAAAGAACGCGCAGTGGGAGAAAAGGCCAAATCGGCGGAGTTTTAACGAAAACATAAATTTTCGAATTGTACCGACTTTCTTTATTTTTTTGAGTGGTAGTAAAATGCCGGTTGTTAAGGGAAAATATATACATACACACATGACTGCTAGTGTATATTTTGCAGTTTTGTGGTTTGTAATGTGTGTGTGCACACATTTTTTCTTTTTTTATAGTAAAGCATCAAAAGCCGAAGTGCGGAACTTTAATCCTCTAAACCTAACCTACTCCCAACTCATATCTCTCCCACGGAACCACTGGACAAAGTATTATTTCATGGGAGAGAAAAAGAGAATTATTGATTTTATTTGCTTTACCCGTAGTGTTATCCAAGTGCTCTTTAAATTTTAGCCTTGAGTCCAATATTACACCAAGGTACTTCAGTTGTGGCTGTGAAGTTATCTCACATTCTCCTATGGTGAGCGATATTTTTTCTTCAATTTTCCTGGAGCTAATGAGCAATACTCAATACTTCGGTTTTCGGCTCAGCCAACTATAGGCTCATGGTAGCGAACCATCGTCGTAGACCATTTCTGCACAATTCCCACAACAGCCGGTTCTACGTTACAGGAATTGACCCGGATTTCATCCGGCCAAGGGCTGTTATTTCGGCGATCTAACCCTGTTTGGATCGGTAAGTGTAAGTCCGTCTGTCTTCACGAGAGCAACACCTTGCAGCAGGGTTGCTCCGTATCCTCTTGACCCGTGCTGGCATTGAGTCCAACCCGGGCCCCGAGGAATTCTTTTGCTGCGTATGCGCTAAAAGGCTCCATCCAAACTCCACCTCGGTTAGGTGCAATACATGCAATGGATGGAGCCATCTTAAAACCTGCTCAGGCCTTAAGACCCATAGGGAGTGGTCCACGAGTTATGTGG